TATGTATGTATGTATGTATGTATGTATGTATGTATGTATGTATGTATATGTACTGGCTGTTTTGTGAGTCAATGTGACACAAGCTGGAATCACTAGAAAGGAAGGCGCCTCAGTTGAGGACATGCCCCCATGTGATCCAGCTGTAAGGCATTTTCTCAATTAGTGATCATTGGGGGAGGGCCCAGCCCATTGTGGGTGGTGTCACCCCTGGGCAGGTTGTCCTGGGCTCTATAAGAAGGCCAGCTGAGCAAGCCAGGGGAAGCAAGCCAGGAAGCAACACCCTCGATAGCCTCTGCCTCAGCTCCTGTCTCGAGGTTTTAGCCCTGCTTGAATTCCTGTCTTGACTTCCTTCAATGATGGATTGTGATCTGGAAGTGTAAGTCAAATAAACCCTTTCTTCCGCAACTTGTTTTTTTGGTTATAGTGTTTCATTGCAGCAATAAAACCCTGACTAAGACAGTATGTATGTATGAATGATTGATTGAATGAATAAATGAATGTATGTTATTTGTGTGTCTGTCATAGCACGGAAGTCAGAGGATAATTCTCAGAACTTAGTTCTCAATTCCGAACTATATGGGTCCTGGGGATCAAACTCAAGTTCTTGGCCTTGGCAACCTCTGCCTATTGAGCATCTCACAAGTCCTTTCTTTTTGTTTTTTCTTTTTGAGACATGATTTCAGTATTCATCGCTGGTTTGCCTGGAACTCACTGTGTCGAGCAAACTGGCTTTGAATTTGAAGAGGCTCACCCACCTCTGCCTCCTGAGTGCTGAGATTATACACACCCGGCCGGGCTCTTCTCCTTCTCACCGTAAGGTCCAGGCTTCAGGATGGAGCCCTGGAAGGCCTTTACGTTTTATGCAACCCCCCCTTCCCTGCACAACCAAGGAGGTGGTCAAGCACCCCCCCTTCCCTGCACAACCAAGGAGGTGGTCAGCTCTTTTTCTGCTCTGTCCACCCAGCATCGGGGGGTGGTAGCGCTCCCTCACCTGTCTCTAGCTGACTCTTTGCTTGCTGTTAGCCTGGGTGAGCATCACCAGCCATGCCAACCTCAAGATGTTGCTGGTCTAGCCACTGGGGGAGGGGACTGCTAGCCAGTAAGTACATCAGGGTTCTCTTTGTTCTCATGTATTCGTGATCAACTTACCATTTTTTAAAAAGATTTATTTATTTATTATTTATACAGTATTCTGCCTGCATGTGAGCCAGTAGGCCAGAAAAGAGCATCAGATCTCATTATAGATGATTATGAGCCACCATGTAGTTGCTGGGAATTGAACTCCCGGACCTTTGGAAGAACAGTGAGTGCTCTTAACCTCTGAGCCAGCTCTCCAGCCCCCACCAGCTGACCTTTTCACCAGGACAGAAAGCCAACCCTATCAACAGGATAACAAACAAATGCCTCCAAAAAAAAAAAACAAAACAAAACAAACAAACAAAAAAAAACCCTCTCCCTTAGTGCCACAAGCAGCTTGGTGAGAGTAAGAATGGCTGGGTCTATGATAATATCCCAAAGCTTGTTTCTTACTGATGATGGTGGTTGTGTTACTGAATGTGGTACCTGTGGTTTGTGGTTTGGCTTACAGTTCAAGTCGCCCTAATATTTGGTGCAAAGATATTAGACTATGTCTTCAACCTGTGCAAAGGTAAACTTGACTACCTGGAGCGGCTCTCTGACAATCTGCTGCTGAAGATCATCTTCTATCTTGACATGGAAGATATCTCCAGGCTCTCTCAGACATCAACCAGGTTTGCAAAGGTAACAGTCCCTGTTGCCGTGTGGGCTGCACCAGGAGCCCTCCCACTGAGCTAACCCTGGGATCCATATTTCTCTTGTTTCTTATTATTTAGCGTGTTGGTCTCTCTCTCTCTTTCTTTCCATCTATCATATGTGGGTGTTTGGCCTGCATGTATGTATGTATGTATGTATGTATGTATGTATGTATGTATGTATGTGTACTATGTGCATGCAGGGTCCCTGGAAAACAGAAGAGGGCATCTATTCCTCTGAAACTAAAACTAAAGGCAGTTATGCATTACCGTGCTATGTGGGTGCTGGGAACCAAACCTAGCTACTAAGCAAGAGCAGCCAGTGCTCTTACCTCCTGAGCCACCTCTCTAGGCACTCTGTTTTGTTTTTTATCTGTCTGTCTATCTATCTATCTATCTATCTATCTATCTATCTATCTATCTATCCATCCATCTAGCTATTTATCAAGGTAAGGATTTATGTAGTACATGTTAACCTTGAACAACAACAACTACTATTATAATTTCTTCTTTTTGTTGTTATTGTTTGTTCGTTTTTTGTTTTTTTAAGTGTGTTTTTATTTTATTATGTATACAATGTTCTGTGTGCATGTTACCCTGAACATGAGAAGAGGGCACCAGATCTCATTGTAGATGGTTGTGAGCCACCACGTGGTTGCTGGGAATTGAACTCTGGACCTCTGGAAGAGCAAGCAATGCTTTTAACCTCTGAGCCATCTCTCCAGCCCTGTTTGTTTGTTTTTTAAGTTTTCGAGATGGTTTCTCTGTGTAGCCTTGGCTGTCCTGATTTGCTTTGTAGACCAGGCTGGCCTCAAACTGACAAAGATCTGCCTCTACCTCCCTTAGTGCTGGGATTAAAGGCTTGCACCAGCATGCCTGGCTTTCTTTTTTGTTTTTCAAGACAGTGTTTCTCTGTGTAGCCTAGATTGTCCTAGGACTTATGTTGTAGACTAAGGTGGCCTCAGAGATTTGCCTGCCGCTGCCTCCTGAGTTCTGGAATTTAGGATGTGGGCCACGTGCTTTCCTTAGCTTTGAATTTCTAATCTTTTTGTTTCTACCTCCTAAGCACTGGAATTATAGGCCTGTGCCACCATGGAAAACTTATTTTTCTGTTGAGACAGTTGATATTGTCTCTTTCTGTAGTACAGGCTGGCCTTGAACTCATGGGAATTCTCCTGCCTCAGCCTTCCAAATTCTGGGATTATAGATGTGAACCACCACACCTGGCTTATTTGTGTTTAATCTCTATAGTCATTTTGACTCCTGCCTCTATGACATGCACTGTCCTAGGCACCCAGACAACAAGATGACATTATTCCCACCCTCAAGGAACATGCTATCATATATTAGAGAGCTAAACAGAGTCCGTTGACTGCAGTATAATATGGTTTGAATAGAAACAGTCACGCAAGGTACAAGGACTGTGTGCTAAGTGGTTCCTGTGCTTTGCTTCTTAGAAGTGGGTAACTCTATCTTTTTTTTAGGGTTTCTCTGTGTAGCCTTGGCTGTCCTGGACTTACTTTGTAGACAAGGCTGGCCTCAAACATCGATCTGCCTGCCTTTATCTCCCTGAGTGCTGGGAATAAAGGTGTGTATCACCATGCCCGGCCAGAGTCAACATTTTCTTCCCACAATAATACAGTAAAGCTGTCTTTATGATCAGAATTTATTTTCAGTATTATAATTTATTAGTATGCATAATATTTATTTATTTCTATTTATTTAGTTTATGTGCACTGGTATTTTGCCTTCATGTAATTCTGTATGAGGGTGTTGGGTCCCCTGGAACTGGAGATACAGACAGCTGTGAACTGCCATGTGGGTGATAGGAACTGTACTGTTCTTCCGGAGGTGGTGCTCTTAACCACTGAGCCATCTCTCTGCCCCTCTCTTTATTTCTGAGACCAGATCCCAGTATAAATTAAGTTGCTGTGGAACAGGCATGATCCTCTTGCCTTAGTACCCCAAGTACTGGGCTTATAGGGTGTGTCATCACATCTAGCTTACATTTTTTAGACTTGACTTTTATTTTCTAAATGTGAAGGATGAGAAATAAGTACTATGAGTAATTATTGTTTGCATACATCTTTTGAAAATATTTTATTACTTTTTGGAGGAGGGTATTTTCAAGACAGGATTTCTCTGTGTAGCTTTGGGAGTCCTGGAACTAGCTCTGTTGACCAGGCTGGCCTCAAACTCACAGGGATCTGACTGCCTCTGCCTCTGAAGTGCTGTGATTAAAGACATGCACCACCAACTGCCCAGCTTATTTTTTATATGAATTAATTAATTTGTTTATTTATTTTGATAAGGTATTATTATGTAGCCTTCGCTGGCTTGGAACTCATAGAGATCTCCTTACCTCTGCTTCTCAAAAGTGCTAGGATTAAAGGTATGCACCACCAGGCCCAATCCAGGTATTCATACTTTAAAGAAGATGCTGAGGTGATCAGAATCCACTGGTAGGGCCCTAGTGAAAGCATCTGCCAGGGCCTGAATTTGTTGTCTTGTGCCATTGCAAGGGCTTGGCAGGAACTGGCAGCAACTGGGGATCTCTGTCCTCATGCTGGGCATCTACTTCCTTCAAGTTCTCAGGCCCACTCTGTTTCTCCCGTTCTCACTGTTCTGCCTTTATTGCAGCCCAGCTTGCACTGCATAACATTCCCAGCGCTCTGGAGCCAGGCTGTCCGTATGTTTGTTGTGTGTTTGTGCGTATGCGTGGGTACACATGCCATCATGTGTGTATGGAGACAGAGGACAACACTGTGGAGTTAGTTCTCATCTTCCATCTTTATGTAGGTTCTAGGGGTTGAACTTGGGTTGCCAAGCTTGCATGGCAAGTGCCTTTACCTACTTCACCATCTCTTCAGCCCTTTATTCTCTCTCTCTCAGATATCATGAATATAGTGTTCTGCTTGCATGTATGCCTGCAGCCAGAAGGCTCCAGATCTCATTACTGATGTTGTGAGCTATCATGTGGTTGCTAGGAATTGAACTCAGGACTCTGGAAGAGCAGCCAGTGCTCTTAACCTCTGAGCCATCTTTCCAGCCCCTCCCCTCGAACCCTTTTTAAAGGTCGATACGTAACTGTGGGTGACCTTGAATTTCTGACCTTCAAAGTCCTGGGATTCCAGGCATGTGCCACCATACCCAGTTTATGCAGTGCCGGGGATTGAACCTTGTACCTAACCGTGTACTGGATAAGCACTCCACTACCTGAGCTGCAGCCTCAGCATTTTTTTTTTTTTTTTTTGAGACAGTCACACTATGTAGCTTTGGTTGGTCTGGTACTTGCTATGTAGACAGGTCAACCTCAAACTCACAGAAGTCTGTGTGCATCTTTTTCCTGAGTACTAGGATTAAAGATATGCACCACCATGTCTACCTCAGTTTTTTTAAAATTACATTTATTTATTTGTTTATCTGTGTATCTATCTATTTTTTTTTTTTTTTGTGTGTGTGTGCATGTATGTTCATGCACACTTTTGTGCCACAGTATTAGTGTAGAGGCCAGTGGACAGCCTCTGAAAATTGATTCTTTTTTTCTACTTTGTGGGTTCAGGGGAATTTTAAGATAGCACGCTTGGTAGTAAATGCCTTCACCTACTGAGCCATTTTGCCAGCTCCTTGGATTTTTAAGTATTGTACTCCCCCCACCATTTAAAAGACTTGTGCATGTTCATCCATGTTCACTAGGGCTGAAGCCAGGGCTTCATATATACTAAACATGCACATTGATGTGGCTATGGTGCTCACATCTGTCGTTTCAGCCTTTGAGAGGCTGAGGCAAGAGGATCCTGTGAGCCGGAGGGCAGCCGAGTCTACACAGTGAGCCCTGGCCAATTAGAGCTACATGGTAAGACCCCATGTGTCACATGTACTAGCATGTCCTACCTCCCTCGACTTTTATTCCTGTCAGACTGAAGACTCCCTTCACTTAAGTTGGTATGTCTACCTTGGCAGAGTACCTAGCTTAGGTCAGCTCCAAGGATATAAAGATTTCTCAGTGATTAAGAGGGATTGCTGCCCTTCTAGAAGACTTGAATTTGGTTTCCAGTGTCCATGTCAGGTGGATCACAACTACTTCTAACTCCAGCTCCAGGAGACACAACACCCTCTTTTCCCCTCTGAGGAAACTTCACACAAGTAGCATATACACACAGGTGTTGCTAATGCATACCTGTAATCATAGCAGCAACTAAAGATCTGGTGGGCTCAGTGGCTTTATTTTTCCGTATGAACAAAGAAGCCTCCTCAGAGCTTGACTCACAAGAGAGCAACCCTGCAGGTGGCTTGTATGCCAGACAGACAGAGTTCTACATCTGTCAGGCAGGGTTCTATACCTCAGATGGAAGGCCGGCCCTGAGCTGAAGGACGTTCACCGAGATGCACAGCCACGCAGCCGCCTTCCATGGGTGCCTGCTTCCCTTCTATCCTCTCTCCCGACCCCCTTCCCTGCCAAGGCACCAGAAATGACCCAAAGAAACCTCCAGTGTACTTAGAGAGGCCAGAGACTCAGGTTGGGAGCAACAGTGACCACATTCCTTGTGGTTTAGAAATGAGGTAAGCTGGGCGCCTGTAATTCCAGCACTCTGGGGGGCACAGGCAGGTGGATCTCTGTGAGTTCCAGCCAGCCTGGTGTACAAAGCAGGTCCAGGACAGCCAAGGCTACACAGAAAAACCCTGACTTGAAAAAGAAAGAAAGAAAGAACTGAGGACACTAAGCTTTCTTGCACATGAGATCTGCCTCAGAAACAACATAACAAAATGGCTGGGGTGGTGTCTCATACCTGGGAGACAGGCAGGAGGATCTCTGTGAGTTCTAGGACAGCCAATGCTATTAGTGAAACACTGTCACAAACAAACACACACCACCAAAACAAAACACTCTCTACTGTCACATTTTAGCTGAGGAAGCAGATTTAATTTTTTTAAGTGTGTGTTTGTGTGTGTGTGTGTGTGGTATGTATGTGAGCAGGTAGGTGTTCTATAGCATGTATGTAAAGGTCAGAAATTCCAGGGATCAAACTCAGGCCTTTGGACTTTGTGTGTGTGCATGTGTGTGTGTTTAGAGACAGGCTTTTCTGTGTAGACTTGGCTGCCCTGGACTCGCTTTGTAGACCAGGCTGGTCTTGAACTCATAGAGATCTACCTGCCTCTTCCTTCCTGAGTGCTGGGATTACAGGCATGCACCACAGCACCTGGCTGGCCCTTGGACTTTTTAGAGAAGCAATTTTCACTGCTGAGCCACCTCACCAGCCCACAGGGACATTTATTTTGTTTATTTTCCTTGAGTCCACAAACTCCCTTTGAAGGGGATCCCCAACTCCAGACAAGGAGAGCAGGTGAACACACAGCTGTCAGGTCTCTCCCTATGTGGCTTTGAGGGTGCCGAGGGGACCTAGAGAATGCGTGGGTAGTATGTGTTTTACTGTCTGTGTCATTATCTTGAGTCAGGGTATTACTATGTAACCCTGACTGTCTTGGAACTCACTATATAGACCAGGCTGGCCTTGAACTCATAGAGACCCACATGCTTCTGCTTCCCAGGTGTCGAGAATGACAGTGAGCGCTGCTTCACCCAGTGCAAGATCCACACCATACTGTTCTGCTCCGGGGATGGAGCTCAGTGGTAGGGCTTGTGCTTAGCGCCTGCGAGACTCTGGGTTCAGCGGTGGGCACCCTGGGCTCCAGGGAGAAACTGTTTCCCCAGATAGATGTTTGCACAGCAGCGGGGCGCCTTTAAACAAGCACCAGGCCAGAGAACTGGGCTTTGTTCTAGCTGCTCCCCATCCTGAGGCAAACATTCTTCCTTGTTCGTTCTGAGCACCATTTCCTGGTTTATAAAAAAAAAAACACAGGTTTTAGCTTGAATCCACTCAAGCCTTTTCTAAAATCCCCGTGTCAACTTCATACAGGAATTCTAGCTTAGCACCTCCAGGGGGTACTAATCCTATGATTCGCTTTCACCGCCTGGCAACTGAGCCCCAAAGTTTGGGGTGCTCAACAGAGAAAAACAAAACAAAAACAAAAAACCCAAGCATTTTCACCTGGCGTGGTGGCGCCCGCCTTTAGCCCCAGCACTCGGGAGGCAGAGGCAGGCGGATCTTCGTGAGGCCAGCCTGGTCTACAGAGCGAGCTCCAGGATAGCTAAGGCTACACAGAGAAACCCTTTCTCGAAAAACAAAACAACAAAACACAAAACAAAAAAGTCAGGATTGTGGCACATTTTTAATCGCAGCACTCAGGAGCAGAGGCCAGCAGATCTCCGTGAGTTCAAGGCCAGCCTGGCCTAATAGTGAGTTCTATGCTTAGCCAGGGCTACATAGCGAGACTGTTTAAAAACAAAACCCTCAGAAATGTTTCAGGATGAAACCCATGATTCAGTGTCACTGCTTAATTTGCCTTGTGTGACTTGTAATGGCTGTCCCGGTTGCTGTTTATGCAGATTTGGGGACCAGGTTCACTAGTTCAGGTTGGCCTCAATTCTCTGTACAGCTGAGTGCAGCCGTCTCAGGTTCTTCACTAGGTCAGCCCAGCATTCCACCTCACCAGCTAGCAGAAGCTACTACCTTCAACTTCCCAGCCTCCCGCCTTCCCCTCCCAAGCTCCTCCTCATCTAGTTAATGTAGTGCCCGGGGCTGAACCCTCTGCCTCACGAATGGCAGGCAGGCACTAATACTCTACCAGCTGAGCCCCGGAGTCACGTCTTTTTCATATACATATATAATTTATATGTGCACTGGTGTTTCACCTGCATGTGTGTCTGTGTGAGGGTGTGGATTCCCTGGAACTGGAGTTACAGACAGTTGTGAGCTGCCATGTGGGGGTGCTGGGGATTGAACTTGGGTCCTCTGGAAGAGCAGCCAGTGCTCTGACCCGCTGAGCCATCTCTCCAGCCCCAGGTCTCACATCTTAGCTGAGTGCAGGACTTGCTTTTCTCCACTGCTTCTCTGGGTGTCTGTAGATCCTGCTGCATTTCCTCTTCTCTGACTACAGCAGTTTCTGAAGGCCAAACCTTCCTGGCACCCAAAGTCACGCCGCGCCTCCTAGATGGCCGGCGGTTTGTTTCATAGTGGTTCATGAGCTGGTGGATGGCGTGTCTTACCCTGCCCCTGGCTCTCCCGCCCCGCAGCTGTGCAAGTCCGACCCACTGTGGGAGCAGATAGTTCAGACGGCCTGTGACACCATCACCCCCGACATGCGGGCCCTGGCAAAGGACGTGGGCTGGAGACAGATGTTCTTCACCAACAAGATCCAGCTGCAGAGGCAGATCTGCCGGAAGAGGCAGAAGCAGAGGCAGGCAAAGCAGAAGGAGAAGCAGAAGAGTATTTAGGGGCTCTTCTCACCAGCAGGGGCCACAGCCTGCTTCTCTCACGTCCACCTCTCACACTCTCTGTTGAACAACAGGTTTTGACGTTAAGCTATTCCGGGAATCACTTGCAAATCTGATTTTGCACACACACACATGCAAATCCACCCAGTCCCTTGCTTGAGCAGCCTCTTCTGTCCTGCTCAGGCCAATCCTATGGCCCAAGTACTAAGGGCGATGAGACAGGAAGCTCAGGCCGCGCCACCTTCCCCGTCCCCTGTTCCCCTGAGGAAAGAGGTACCTGTTGTGTATGAACTAACAATAAAGAGATACTAGCTGGCTTGTGTTTTTGTTTGGATGCCAAGCTGGACTTTGAGGATGACTTTGAACCCTCTTGCCTCCACCTCTGCACTGCTGGGATTCCAGGCATTCACCGCCATGCCCAGTTCATAAGGTGCTGACCTTCGTGCCAAGTGCACACTGTATCCATGGCACCCCCTCCCTACCCCCAACTCGACACATGGCTGGCTAAATGTCTGTTCTGTCTAGGCATTCAAAATGGCCGCTTGACTTTTGATTTTTTTTCCCCTGATGTTGTCTTACCTGCATCTCTCTGTGGAATGGGAGGTGCAGGTGCCAAGGGAGGCACCCCAGGAGAGCACAGCTGCCTCCTCACTTCATCCAGCAGAGTTTTTATCCATTCACTGTCCTTGTGGGCCTGGGGTGTCATCTACCACACAAACATCCCCTGACAGCCCTGGAGTTTAGGCAGCTCTTACTTAGAGGATGAGTACCACTGTTTAAGCTGCCAGTTCTTCGAGGGAAAGCGCTGCTTTCTGAAGGGAATGCAGACAGCCAGCACTTTGCAGCAGGGATCTGAAGAGTGTAGACAGTGGGTGACCAGTGCAAACAGTTCATGTGGCCCAGGGATGCTCTTCCTCTGTCACACAACAGGTTGAAGACCTGTCTTAAAAAAGAGGTAGGGCGTGGTGGTGGTGGTAGAGGCAGGCAGATCTCTGATTTCGAGGCCAGCTTGGTCTACAGAGTGAGTCCCAGGGCTACACAGAGAAACCCTGTCTCCAAAAAAATGGGGGGGGGGAACAAATGTGGCAGGGAAGGCTGGAGAGATGACTTAGCGGCACTCTTGTTACTCAGTGTACTTGAGTTCCAAGAGAGAACTGAAAACCCAGAACTTCTGGTCCACATCTTTCAGTTGACAAGCAGTCAGAAAAAAGTTCTAAACTGGTAGCTCAGAACTTTTGCTTTTATACAGATTTCTTTTCATAGTATGTGTATGGGTGTTTTGCCTATATGTAAATCTGTGAACCACTCAAATGCCTGGTGCCCACAGAAGCCAGAAGAGGCTGTCTGATCCCTTAAAGCCCAAGTTGCAGACTGTTGTGAGCCATCATCTGGGTCCTCTGGAAGAGCAGCCAGTGTTCTTGACTGCTGCGCCATCTTTCCAGCACTCAGTATCATTTAAAAAGTCTTTCCATGTTGTATATTGTTAATTATGGTTTCCATTTGAAAAGGCTACAAGGAAAATTCCCTCAGCATGCCCACAGAAGTCCAGATCACACTTGGTGATTGGAAAAGAAGTTAGCTGAAAGAATCAAGTAGCATCTCCAACTGCTCTGTAGATAGTACCTGACCAGAATGCAGTGTGATGTTCATAGGCAGACACAGAACTTGGGAAGCAGAGGCAGGTACATATATGGAGTTGAAGGCCACCCAAAGGCTACATAATGAAACTGTCTCAGTCAGTCAATCAAACAAATAAATGGCAGGAACATGACTGAGTGAAGACAGATATCTAAAACCGATTGAAATGTTTTGTTCTTAAATATACAGAGAGTAGTTTTCCAGTAGTTCTGTATAAAACAATTGGTGCCTGCCTGTAATCTCAGCACTCATATATGTTAAAAAAAAAAAAAAGGAGAGATATCGGTTTTATACAAAAACTTATTGACCACCTAAGACAACAACCTTTATTTAGTTGCAGGTAAATAAAAAAAAAAAGCACAGTTACACAAACAACAAACTATAAAGCATATGGTATGATTACACAATTAAGCCTTGAGAGTATCTTCAGAACACGGCAGGTATGAATAGGAGCCGTTCGTTGCCAGCAGGACTTGTTTCAGTCCTGCAGGGACCTCTGATTCAGGAGAAGCCACTGCACCCTCAGGCATACTGAGTCCACAGCGAGAAGCACCAGCAGCCTAACACGGATGCAGTTCCAGCTGGGTCAATAGGTGGAAAGTTCCCGTTTCTGATGCGCAGCCAGCAATACAAGCATCCCTTATCATGGGCTGTAGCACCATTGGACACACTTAACACCGCCTCCTGTTAACTGAGGTTGCAGACGATGAAAATAACGAAGTAATGAAGTTTTCAAAATACATAGCATGTGGTTTAATGGTTCCTAATTGTATGTATCTTTTTTTAAATGAAAACAATTATCACTGCTTCAGCTTTAAAGGTTATCCTTATAATTTATTTATTTTTGAGACAGATTCTCACTATGTTGCCCTATCTGATCTGGAATTCACTACGTGGAGAGGCTGGCCTCGAACTCCCAGAGATCTGCCTGCCTCTGACTCCCAAGTGCTGGGATTAAAAGTATGCACCACCATTTCTGGCTGATATTACCTTTATTAAAACATCAAGTTGTGCTACAGATATGATGATAATAAACAAGTCTTTGGCCAGGGGTGGAGGCAGAGGCAGGCAGAGAAAGGCAGGTCTCTATATAATTTCAAGGCCAGCCTGGTCTACATAGTGAGACCTTGTCTGAAAACAAAACAAAACAAAACAAAACAAAACAAAACAAAACAAAACAAAACAAAACCCAAACGTGCTAAGCCAAATGGAGCCTGACATGCAAATTACTATCTATCTACTTTCCAGGCAATGCTCAAGTCATTGGAGGTAATAGCAAGTATGTGCATTGGTGGGGCCTTCGGGGCTCCTTTCTGTGAGCCAGCTTGCTTAGTACTGGTGTTGTCTGGGTAGTTTCACAGAGCAACCTTTCCACTAGTCCTTAGGGCAGGAGACAATGGAGACCAGGCAGAAAGAAAGTGTTCATTTAATTACCTGTTAACATCTGGGAAGCGCTCCTTGAATTCTGCCTGCAAGTTAGACCTTGGGAGCGTTCTGCAATTCCAGTTGCTAGCATTCTGCCTCTAATTACCAAAGATAATTGAGAATGGGGTGGATTCACTTTAGGTAAATTTGACCCAAGACACTGGCAATTTTGTTGGAGGAGCAAATTGTGAGTAGAAGTTCCTCGCTTTACGGTGTGGAGGTGGATCCTAGGGTCTTGAACGTGTTAGGCAACACTCTTATTGCTGAGCTACAACCCCATACTAGAAAGTAGACATCCGAGTCATTTAAAGGGCTGTATAAACAAGTAAGGCAGTCGGAGATTTCAAAATGATCCTGGGAGGAGCATTCCAGTCTGTAGTCTGAAAATGGTTTAGCTTTAGAAAAATAGAGATCTCAGCTAAGGAAGAGTATTTGTTTTTATGATGTCCCAGATTGGACGTCTTCATGTATGAAGCCTACAAAGAGGACTATTTTTAAAACTGTGCCAAGCCCAGACAAGTGAATCATCTATATGGCAAGAGGCACCGGAGCTGAGCTGTTTGGCACCACTACCCCAGTGTGAGCACATGGTCAGCTACAAGGCAATCCAGCTATGATCCTCACAGCTTGACTCTTAAAAAAAAAAAATGGTATTTGTGTGTGTGTGTGTGTGTGTGTGTGTGTGTGTGTGTGTGTGAATGGGGTGTTGTGCAAATGAGAGTCCAGAAGAGGGTGGCTGATCCCAGGCAACAACTAGCTCTCTAGCGTATTTACTGGGCAAGAGAAACTCCAAAAAGATGGTGGGTTTTACCCCCCCTTTCCTGAGACAGAACTCAGTGATCCGCCTCTCAAGTGCTAGGATCAATGGCGTGTGCCACCACACCAGGCTCTAAGATGGTTGAATCTAAGGCAGTGGTATGAATCAAAGCGTCGGATTCATAGCCCTTAATTCGATAGTCAAGTGCACTAAGAAACACAGCTGCCGCGAAGGACATCATAGAACACATGGGAAGGATTTGTGTTGAGTTGCGGATAGGGCTGACCTCATCTTCAATGTTAGAAAGGATGGCCAGTGTCACTTCTTAAAGGAAGAGTTAGAAACTGTACTTCTTAGCTACAGAATTCTTTCACAAAAATAAAAACTGTGTGTTTTTTGTTTGTTTTTGTTTTTCGAGACAGGGTTTCTCTGTGTAACCTTGGCTGTCCTGGAGTCACTTTGTAGAGCAGGCTGGCCTGCCTCTGCCCCCCAAATGCTGGGATTACAGGCATGTGCCACCATGCCCAGCTTCTAAACTATGTGTGTTTTCTTTTTTTTTAAATTGTACAAATTTGTATTTCTTTTTTTTTTTTAAGTTTTTTTTTTTAATTTATATTTCATGTGTATGTATGTTTTGTCTGAGTGCATATATGTGCACCACATGAGTGCAGTGGCTACAAGAGACCAGAAGAGGGTGTCTGGTCCCCTGGGACTGCAGTTATAGGTGGTTGTGAACCAAAATGTAGGTGCTGAGAGATGAACTCCAGTCCTCTCCAGTCCAGACCTCTTAACCATCTCTGCAGCTCACAGACTACATTGCTTTTGAAATGATACCAGCATTCCAGTAACTCCTTGTAAGAATTAATTTATGAAACCCATATTCTCATGTTCAAAGCCCATTCATCTGGACCATTTGTGGAAATATAGACACTTGGGTTTTGCCTAATGAAGAAGTGGTTGAGTTACAAAGCCTTTATTTCCAGTCTATGTATGTAAAACCTTAGCCCCAGTGGACAAGAGGAGAGAGAGAGGAGGAGAGAGGAAGAGGGAGCAGGGATGGAGAGAAATAGAGGAAGAGGGGGGGAGAGAAAGTAGGAGAAAGAAAAAGAGAAGGTGGGGTCTATTTTGTTTGTTTTTTGACGGGGTCTCATGTAGCCCAGGCTGGCCTGGAACTCACTAGGTAACAGGGACTAGTCTTGAGCCTCTGACCTTTCCACCTCCACCGAGAGCTGGGATTACAGGTGTTTGCCACCATGCCTGGCTCGAAAGTTTTCCTACGGGTGTCTGTATCGACTATTTCATAAGCTATAGACACCATCATCTCTAAAACACCTCTGCAGAGAGGCCATTCGAGGACAGACAAAGTGAGGACAATGGCATTCACAAGACACCGCCAGTTACCACACAGAGCGTCCCTCTAGCAGCCAGGTGAGGTAGGCACGAGGAGGGAATCCACACGAAAAGGTCCATGACACTAAGCATGTGCACCTTCTATGTACTTCCTTCTGGACTGTTCTATCCTCTGAATACACGGCTGAATGAGCAAAAAGACTATTCCTACCATGTAAAGCAAACCACACACATAAAAGGAAAAGTCGTACTTTTGTGTGATGTCGAAGATCCACCCTATGAAAACAAAAAATATATATATATTCAGTATAATACAGTTTAAGACAAAACTCAAACAGACAAAGCAGGCATTTATTGCTACCTCAAACTTTTTTTTTTTTAATAAGCGTTTGCACTGAGGATGTAGCTCAGTGGTAGAACATTTGCCTAGCACATGTGAGAGCCCAGGTTCAGACCCCAACACCACCTCACCAAAGAAATTTATTAACTTTTCTTTCTGACGCTAGGGATGGAACCCAGCACACTGAACATGTGGCCGCCCTGGGCCACAGAGATGGGCCGCATTCAAGCCTTTTTTTTTTTTTTTTTTTTTTTTTTGATAAAAAAATCTCACATATTCAAGGCTGGCCTCCAACTCACTGTGATTTATTATTCTTTCTGTCTCTATCTCTCTCCCTCTTTTGGTTTTCTCGAGACAGGGTTTCTCTGTGTATCCTTGACTGTCCTAGACTTGCTTTCTAGACCAGGCTGGCCTCAAACTCAGAGAGATCTGCCTGTCTCTGTGTCCCTGAGTGCTGGGATTATAGGCCTGTGCCACCGGGCCTGGCTGAGTTATTGTTCTTTAATTGCTAGTTTTTGATTGTTCTTGAGACAGGGCCTCACTATGTAGCCCTGGAACACACTACATAAACCAGGCTGGCCTAGAACTCACAGAGATCCCCCTCCCCGTTAGGAGTGAGCCACCAGGCCTGGCTGCTGCTATTTGCGTTTTTATCTCTGTGTAAGTGTACCTTTGTGCGTGGCATTCATGTACCAGGTGTGTGTGTGGAGGTCACAGGACAACTCTTTGGAGTAAGTGCTCCCCTCCTACCGTTCTGTGGGGCTCCAGGGATTGAACTCAGGTCATCCAGCATGTCGGACTTGGTTGGCAAGTGGCAAGCATGTTACCCACTGACCCATCTTATCAGCCCTGTTAAACGTGTTATTTGATTTCAAAAGAGAAGGCAGGTGTGGCAGAGGCAGCTGATCTCTGTGAGTTTGAGGCCAGCCTCTGCCTAGTCATAACAAGGCCAAATGGAGCTACCCCGGAGAACCTGCCTCAAAACAAAACAACAAACAAACAAACAAACAAAAATCCACCAACAACAATAACCAAAGGCCTTTTTTTTTTTGTCTGTTTTGGTTTTTCAAGACAAGGGTTTGTGTTGGTGTGTGTGTGTGTGTGTGTGTGTGTCTAGCTCTGGCTGTCCTAGAACTAGCTCAGTAGGTCAGACCTGCTGCCTCTGCCTCCTGAGTGCCGGAATTAAAGGCGTTCGCCACGACCTGGCTAAAGGTCATATTCTTTAGACGTGGCTTAGGCAAACGTCCTGCCCTTATCTCCATCTGGAATCTAAACCAAGATCAAGCGCATAATCCAAAAACAATGATTTCAGCTTCAGAATCTGAAAGCGGCACTGACATTGACATCTTGGCACCCCGACTTCTGCTCAGTGATTCGAGCAGAAAGAGGACCCCTATGGGTGAGGGCAACGTAAGTAAGTGAAGATGCTGCAGAGTCGAGGGTATCCTCCAGAACACCGAGCAGAGGAAGGTCCAAAGGTCCGTAATCTGAAAGTGATCAGGGCAGGACCTAGGGGCAAGGTCTGTCATCCCAGCTCCAGGAAGAGTATGAAGGAAAGGCCCGCCAGCGCTGCAGTGTCCTCGCAGGGTCAGCCTCCGCAACTTAATGAGACCCTGTCTCAAAATGAAAAGGAGCCGAGCTTGACCCACATCTCTCATCTCCTCCCCCTAAACTCCCGGCGCTTGGAAGGCAGAAGCAAGGCAGATCTCTGTGGGTTTGAGACTGGGCTGGTCTGCATAGTGCATTCCTGGCAAGACCGAGCCACACAGCGAGACCCTGTCCCCAAGAGGAAAACAAAAAATCAAAAGGACTGGTGATAAAGTCCAGTGGTGATCACTTATTTCCTTATCATGGGAAGAGGCCCTGGGTTCCACCCAACACCACCCAAAACACAGCAAAACAGAACAACTATAAATGAAGTTCTGTTCTGTTCAGCTCCAGCAGAAGCTGGCTCTGTCCCTTTAACAGTTAAATCTTCAGTCTTTTTTAACTCTATTTTTTTGTTCTTAATTATACTTTATTCACTTTGTATCCCCCCATAAACCCCTCCTTCCTCCCCTCCCAATCCCATGCATGCCCCTCCCCAAGTCCACTGATAGGGGAGGTCCTCCTCTCCTACCTTCTGATCTTAGTCTATCAGGTCTCATCAGGAGTGGCTGCATTGTCATATTCTGTGGCCTGGTAAGGCTGCTCCCCCCTCAGGGGGAGGTGATCAAAGAGTAGGCCAATCAGATTATGTCAGAGGCAGTCCCTCTTCCCAGTACTATGGAACCCACCTGGACACTGAACTGCCATGGGCTACATCTGTGCTGGGGTTCTAGGTTATCTCTATGCATGGTTCTTGGTTGGAGTATGAGTCTCTGGGAAGACCCCTGTGTTCAAATTTCTGGTTCTTTTGCTCTCCTTGTGGAGTAAATCTTCAGTCTTAAAGCGGCCAAGCAATTAAGAGCCAGAACTACAGCTCTTAGTCTCAACACCGTGCCGGAAGCAGAGTGGACTAGTATTGCCACTGTGTAACCCCAACTTCAGACATAGCACAAGACTCCATCTGACTGGAAAATGGAGTTGTCTTGATTTGTGTGTGTGTGTGTGTGTGAAGCTGTGGATTCTCTGGAGCCTGGAGTGGCTGTGAGCTCCTGACGTGGGTGCTGAGAACCAAGGCTCTGGAAGAGCAGTATGCACTCTTAATCACTGAGCCAAGCCCCCGGCCTACCACTGCCACACTTCTGACTGAACCAACGAGGGCCTCATGCTCGTTAGGCAAGCTCTCTTCCTATGTGCCACATCCTCAGCTGTTTGAACTCATGAGTAGTGATCTCCCAACCAGGCACACACCACCGCACCTGGTTGTGATCTTTGTTCTTTGATTTCCTGGGACCTTGGTAATCCCTTCATCCATTAACTCAGAGCATTTGCTTCAAAGTAAAACCTGGTTTCCTATTCTGTTGCCCTCCCTTTTCATTTGAGCACGCCCCAGGAGAAGGCTTGGTGTCTTTCTTATCAATTAAATTGCTTCCAGCTCTTGGACAACATTGACAATGCCTGTTAGAGTGCTAGATTTGAGCAGCTGGGTGAGGTAGTGCTCGGGTGTAATCCCAACACTCAGGGAGACAGAAGGCAGGTGGATCTCTGTGAGTTCAAGGCCAGCCTAGTCTACCAAGCGAGTCTAGGATAGCCAAGGCTACACAGAGAAACCCTGTCTCAAAAAACAAATAAACAAAACGATGAGGGTGAGCCATGCAGATACTCAGCCAAATCTGGTTGGCTGGGTTTTTCTAGAAAGTATTCTGAAAACATCTAGAAAAGTTACCTACTTGCTATGATGTCTTTTAAGGTGACATGAATACCCAGCAATGCTCTAAATAGATTGGATTGAAGTTGGTGTTGTCTGATGCCATGGCTGAAATGTCTGTGTAATGGCTTGAATTTCATGTCTTCCCTAAATGGAATCACAGGAATGTCCAATGTGGCACTAAATTGTACCAGATTTTTAAATGGGACTAGAAATCTTGCTGAAAAAATGAGAAACATGTTTGCTTCTGAAACCATTTACCCCCCCACCCCCCAAACAAAAAGGCAACTGGAGAAGTAATTTTCTTTGCAGCACATTAGGCAGCATTTGAGGCCATTTGGGATGTCTAGCAAGAATTAAATGTGCTTATTTAGTCGTTCGCATTGCCAGGCACCCTGACCCCACAGAGCATGAGCGCTGGGCCCGCATCTCATTATGACTTTAGTTTCTTGGCTTGGAGAGTCAACTAAACATTATGCAGGCAGCCAGTGAATGTCCTTCACCCTTAGTGTACGAATGGGTGGGAGGAGAGGAAGCAACAAACAAAAGGAGGAAAGGCCCTTTACACCCTCAACATCTGGCCAGGTGCCCCCAAAGCAGTGAGTTAGGCACCCACACAGACTTCTCTCTTTGACTGTTTCTGTTGTCGTAGTGAGTTTTTTTGTAGCTCAGGCTAGCTTTAAATTCCTGATGCTCCTACTTCCAACCCCCTCCCCCACACCCCACAAGTACTAGGATAACAGGCTTGCATCAACATGCTCTGCCTGAAAGTTCTCTCATAACTATATATTTTTATAAGTATATGTGAAAGATGTGTATTTATGTGTGTTTGTGTGAACATACACATGTGTGTGTGCTCGAGTGCGTGCACCTGTGTACATATGTGTGTTCTGAGTACTTGGAGGTCGAAAGACAATGCTGGGTGTGTGCCTCTCTTTCTCTCCATCTGTTCCTTTGAGGCAGGGTTTCTCCCTGAACTTGAGGCACAAGTTTTCTTGGCTAGACCTCTGACTGCCATGAGTCCAGTAAGATAATGTTAATGGCAGCTTATTATAGAAGCAACAGGCAACAAACATAAGTCTAGACTCAAACATGGATCTTTGTTTTGCTTTGTCTTTTGAGATGGGGTCTCATGTGGCTAAGGATCACCCTGGACTCCTGACCTTGTCTCTGCCTCTCAAGTGCTGGGACCACAGGCAGGCACTGCCATACCCAGTGTATGAAGTGCTGGGTGTAGAACGCCAGGCATTGCGCATGCCAGGCAAAGACTCTACCAGCTGCGACTCATCCTCTGCCCTGTTCTCGGTTCCTTCTTTTTTAAAAACTTTCATCTAGTGTGTATGTGTATGGGTCCGTGCCACAGCATGAATGTGGGGGTCAGAGGACGATCTGCAAGATTCTGTTCTTTCCTTCCACCATGTGGCTTCCGAGAATTGGACTCACCATCAGCTCAGTAGGCCTGGTGGCAAGCGCCTTTACCTGCAGTCATTTCACAGGCCCCTTGAGACAGGGTCTCATTATGTAGCTAGGGCTGGCCTGGAATTTATTACAATCCTCCTGCCTCTATACCCTTACTGCTGGCATTACAGGTACATACTACCACGGCTAGCCTTTCTGTTTTTTGAGACAATGTAGGCCGACCTCTAACTAGCAGTGTTTTTCCCACTTAAATTTCCCGAGTGCTGACATCAGCAGCACCTGTCACTACGGCCAGCTCTGGCATTGGATACTGGGAAGTGGGGTGCGGACCACCTCACATCCTGCATGGAGGCTAAGCTCTGGGCGCCTTGGGGCACTCACCTGCAAATGGTGGTCCCAGTAAGGCTGAGATGCCATTGGCACAGATGATGATGCCATAGGCATTGGCCAAGTGCTCAGTGCCAACCAGGTCTTCTGTCACCACGGGCATGAGGGAGAAATACCCGCTAGAAAACCCAATCATGGCGCAGATGACAGCCAGGCTCGCATAGGTGTGCATCAACGGCAGCAGGAAGATGCTGAGGACGAGGGTGAAGTTAGCAATGAGGAAGACGTTCCAGACGCTGATACAGGGGAGGTCAGCCACGGCCCCCAGCATCACCTTCCCCAAGATGTGAAGTATTGCTATGATCGAGGTCAGAGGGAACACATCGTTTTGGTCCGACAAGTTATACAAACTGACGATTTCCGGCAGGTGGATGAAGGGGATGACAAAGCTGCTATATGCGAACAGAGCCCAGAAAATAAAGGCTACAAATGTGTGGTTGGTAAAGAGTGAGGCTGTCCCAAAGTAGCCCGAGTACCAATCCCTGAAGCCCCTCTGGACCCGCACAGTAAGTTGGCTCACTGTCTTCAGAACCCGGAAGGCACACATGTTCTTCCTGGGACGGGTTTGACCTTGACTCTCCTGTGTTTGAAGGTCACAGACCGTCTCCTCATTCCCAAGCCTTCTCTCCTGTTCTTCAGTCACACCCAGTGGTCCTCCTGACTTCACAGATTCAGTCGAGTGAGTTGGGAGGGCACTCGGCTCCTCCCGTCCTGAGCAGCTTTCTACCCTTCCAGGAGAGAGAGGCCTCATGAGCGCTCCACAGACACACAGGTTCAAGGACACAGCACCTTGAATGAACATGGCATTCCGCCAGCCATACTCTGCACATAGGTATTTCAGCAACACGGTCATCAGGAAGGTCCCAAATCCTGTCCCTGTGGTGCTGAGGCCCTGGGCCAGGGCTCGTCTCTTCTGAAAATACCTTCCCACCATGACCACTGCGGGCAAGTAGACCATCCCGCTGCCCAGGCCTGCAGGGGGGAAGGAAGCACCGAGGCACCATCAGAATTCATAGGACATAAAGATCACCTGCTGTGTGAGGCAGTTTTCCAGATTATAGCAAAACACCTGAGGCAGTCAGCTTCAAAAGAAGAAACGTTTACTTTGGTTAGCAATTTTAGAGAACTTAGTTCCTGATGCTTTGGGGCATGGCATGGCAGAGCAAAACTCATGGCTGCTGGGAAATATGGGAAAAGAGGAAGAGAGGACTAGTGATCTAGCTGTTGGCACAGTGCTTGCGCTAGCATGCACAAATTCCCAGCGCCATGTAAAACTGGTCACAGTGACACCACAGGTACATAATCCTAGC